ATGAAATAATTTAATGATTTTTATATTTGTATTATCAACACAAACAGTATATGACATATACTGTACTAAATATGTATTAATGAAATAACTTTTTCATATCTATTTTGATTTAATATTTGCATATTTTTTAAATTATAATCATTTTTATTATTACACAGAATATTCTGTATTATTGTAGACGTGAATAAGTTGCATATTAGTTGATATTTAGGTAATGAATCTAAAAATAAATATTTTTACAGTTAAACGAAATCAATATGACTTAAACAGAAAGTTTGAATTAAAATTGTATATTAGGGGACATTTGATGGCTATTTAATTTGTTTTTTATAATGTCATAAATATAACGTTAGAGCACTAAAGGCTATATTAACTTAATTGTAAAAACAGATTAGACACAGATGTATAGTAATGAATAAAACTGATATGTGATTGTTTGCTCCTCCAGTATGGGTCCTCTGCGACACTATTGTATTTCGTTGGGTTCGGGGCCTCAGTGGTGCTCCTGATGTCCCCCAAAGTGCAGTGATCGCAGCAAATCGTGTTTCATCGATATCGTTGTCTGAGAGCAAACAGTATGGGTCCTCTGCGACACTATTGTATTTCGTTGGGTTCGGGGCCTCAGTGGTGCTCCTGATGTCCCCCAAAGTGCAGTGATCGCAGCAAATCGTGTTTCATCGATATCGTTGTCTGAGAGCAATGTTTTGGGCAAATATAGAGCTCCCCCTTCTATTGGAGAACTGACCAAACAGTCCCGACAACACGCTATTAGACTTACATTAAACATACAACTCTTGGAGGGACACGACGTCGAGTGGGAGGCAATCATTTGGAAGGAAAACCTGTTAATTAATATCCCGAACGGAATATCGTTGGATAACTCAAAGGAGGCGTTCATTAGTTTACTAGAGTTGGCCGAAGAGGAACTTCAATGTCAAAGAGTGACCGTCTATTTCGACAAAAACCGAAACGACAGAAGTATGTCATCACTTCCACTACCACTTCAATGCTTTACTCGTGTTTTCTATAATTCATAAATGATTATTATTTCAGATTCATTGATGCGTTTGTTTAGTTTCATTGGGTTCTCAGTGTTGGCCCCGAACCACAGCATGTCTCCCGAGGAAGCATCAGAAGACATGCTGTATATGGCGTACAGTATCTCCGGTTAAACTCTACTCTTTCCCCGAAATCATCTTTTAATGGACGTCTCATTTGTCAATACTTTTTTATCCTTCAATTTGATTTGAGTTGTGTTTTAATGTATTGTTTAAATTTATATTTAATTACGAAATCAATATCTTATTCTCTACTTATTCCTTATCCTTATTTTTTTTCTTATTAATCATTATTTTTAAGCGTTTGGTCTGCGCTTCGATCTTCAAAATCAAAGTGTTATCCAATACTTGTATTCATTATTAATAATAATAATAATCTTTAAACTTTCAAATCATATAATATTAGTTGTAAAAGAACTCAAATATATATACTCTTTGCTCGATATCGACGAATAACACGATTTGCTGTATTGTATTGATTATAATAAATGTTTTAATTTCTTTAAATCCATTTCTAGTTTATTTTTGGTTTTGATTTTTAGCAAATCATTCAGTAGTGAAACTGATAATACATTTTATAAGTGATGATTCATTTGACGGCTATTTTACAGCAATTTTAAAATCTAATGAATTCAAGATAAAAGTTTGATATAATGTGAATAAACACATGCATTATTACCGGTAAATACAATACAGTAATTAATAATTAGTTTTATAGATTATAAATGAAATGTAAACATTTGTGGTTAACTATAAGGAGTGTTACATATAATGAATTTGTTTGAATATAATTATCAATAACTTAATAATTGGACAATTGATGGTAGAAATGGAGATCTTATTTGTGGTACAAATTGATGTACGCGTTGTGTATTGAGTGCAAGAAATCTGCGTCCGTTTGGAGCAAATGGATTAACGTCTGCTTCATCTGTTCCATTGATATGACGCCAACGGATCCCATCTTCTCTTTGTTCACCATTAGTGGCACAAAATTCTGATTATACGGAGAATTGACCGACAGTTGGATGGGTTGTTGCTGTGACTGATTGAAAACAATGGGACTCTCGTTGGGTCTCGAGCTCTGATTGGTTAACATCGCGGGTGTTATCACATCGTTGAGCAGCGGGTCCTCCAAGTTCTGGATCACCGCTTCGGTGGGAATGGGAGGCATCGGTAGCTTCGCTTGCGATCCCATATGCGACTGAAACAACTGATCCAAACTCATCTTCTTTGATCTGGGGTTCGACGGCTGGCTTTGGGGTAAGGGATGTGAGGGTTGGTGCGGGGGATGTGGTTGTGGTTGGGATTGGGCTGCGCTCTGATGACCGCCTTTCGCGTGATTTTGGTGTTGATTCTGACCATTCGGGTGACTCTTATCGCCGCTCACATCCAAATGCATCAGTTTTTTGAGAATATCGTTGGGATTAGAGTTGGATTGAGTGGCGAAGTGGTTGTTCTCGTGGGAGAGCCGGTCCACGATATTCTGGAGCTCTTGACTGAATCTTCTGCAGTCGATCTCATCGTAAAACCAAATGCAGAAAATCTCGTTCAACGAGTTCTTGTAGAGGAGGTACGGAATGTTGACATTGATGTCGAAGTTGTGGTCAATGGACTGAAACATGTTTGTGGTGTTGAGCCGATTGATGACAACGAAGCCGTAGTTGTTATGCGTGTGTCTGTGGACCACAAACATCGAGCCCTCGATCTCTTTGCGCTCCCATTCGTTGGAAGTGTTGCTGAACTTATAGACCGCGCACTGACCACAAGTCATCACAATCTGGTCGATCGTACCGTCCATTTGCTTCAATGACCGCAAATTCATCTCATTCTCGTCCGCCATCTCTGTGTCAGCCCGAAGATTGTCCAAAATATGTGATCTCTTGGATCCGATTAAAGCCTAAACTCAATGCTATAATCACTGAATGAATGAATTAATTGTTTGTTTGATTTTCACCACTAATTCAATGCAAACCAACAATGAATGCATTCAATCAATGCTCACATAAATCACGTCTCAATCCATGCTTTGTTTGAAAGTTTGAAACATTTGCCAAAAC